AAAAGGGTTTTCCCGAGAAATTTTGGTGTAGTCGATTTTTGGTAAAAAAGGAAGGTTATACACTGCCTTTTTTTGAGCCCGAAAAAAAAATTGTCTCAGATCGACCCGGAAAAAAATTTTCTTATAGAATGTGGCCTGTAGAATCCATAATTTCAAACAGTTCCAAGATTGGGCTACTAGTTCAAAAGTTACAGCCCTTTGAATTTTTTTCGAAATTGGTTTTTAGTCTATAACTTTTGATTGAGAAGTCTAATCGAAAAAGTACGAATTGTTTTGGATTCTACGCACCAAAATTAATAAAAAAAAAGTGTTTTCCCGAGAAATTTTGGAGTAGTCGATTTTTGGTATTCAAATAGGTACTTTGCGAAGTATTCGAATACTAAATATTTGTGAAAGTATTTGAGTTACAAATACAAATTACTTCCATAAAAGTATTTAATTACAAAGTATTTGAATACTTTAAAGGATTTGAATACTAAAAAGTATTTACAAAATCGAATACTGCCCAGCTCTGGCGGTTGGTAATATTTTCGCCTGGAGTATCCACTCATGTAAAATTCGACGCCCGCCTCTGGCTAAATTCAATTTTTCACCGGAATATTTCTTCCTTCTTGAGAAAAATTTAAACAAGTGCAATTTGCTCAACTTATTCATTTATATGTTGGGCAAATTTTCCTGGAAGTGAAACAAAGACAACCTTTGGAGAGGAATTTGAATAACGATTTCTAATTTTGACATTTTTCACTCAAAAATCAAAGACATAGAGGCAAGCATTGTCTAAAAATTCCGAAATATTCAGTTCTGAGTTGTTCATCTACAGTGTGTCTCAGGTAGAACGCATCATGGGGACACAGCAATGCATTTTTTCGTGAAGGATCCACGAGGCCCTTGAAATTAGCGTTAAATATACTACCTACTCCAATCTCTTTCTAGCATCAGACAAGCGCAATAACGTACGTTGCACGCTAACTTCAAATACATATTAAAGGCCTCGTGGATCCTTCGCGAAAAAATACATTAATTCTGTTTGCCTATGGTGCATTCAACCTGGAACACACGGTATGTATCCAAATCGAGTAGCTTTTGCTAGAAATATTTCTGATCATCAAATTTACTAGGTCAGCGAACTATTATCATGGATGACTAATTATCTAAGCGGTTAAACAACCAATTACATAAAATGTTCTTCCGTTTTAGTTTTTCATCTTCCTGTTCAATTTGTCTAACGAATAATCTACATGGAAACTGTGATCAGTTCATTGTAACTTGTAAGTCAGTTTTTGTAAGACCGGAAAGGTGCAGCTAAAAACCTAGGCGAAGCCGTCAGTTCGAGATTACAGACGTTCTGAATCGGCCCGGACAAGATGCACTATAACGATCGACCCCTAGAATGATTAAATGGAGAGATAAGTAATTAAAAAGTAAATAGATTCTTTTTAGTGAAAAAATATTGGGTATAGTGTTTCTTTAATAATACAAAAATTCATATAGCAAAATACACAGATCTTTATTATAAGTAAAAAAAATATGATGGTAGGAGTGACCAAAACGACCACGAGACACACAATATACGGGGGTATTGATATGATTTGTTCTTTAATGGATCTAGACGTTGTATCGTTTGTTATTTTTGTATGTCAATTTGTCACTCATTTACTATAATATATAATTTTAAATGGAATAAAGCCTAGCTTTATAAAAGGTTAAAATTAGTATTATAACAGGTATACCCGTAATAATGTAAAATTGTTCCCAAAATCCTCACCCCAAACAGAGTATGATAGTGCACCCCTCAGAGAATCCGAAAAAAATTCACAGGTTTCTCAATATGAAAAAATGAATCAATTTTCGCTTCCCAACATGTATCCTAAAGATCTTTACTGGGTGTATTCAATGCCCTACAGACCCCCTCCCCATCGTACGTTCACCCTCAAAGCTTTCAGCCCTTAAGATTTGCCTAAAATTATAGTGTAAGCCCCACCTTACCTACCCACATAAAAAATATTATTCGGAGTAACCACGTCGAACTTGAATTTGCTTTATGCCAATAATGGTGGCGGTTCGTTAATGCCATTTTGGATGTAATGAGATGAATGTGCCTTGTTTATTTAAATAATAGTAGGTACATTATTTTATTTAGTATTTTTGATTTAATACAGAATAATGTATTATATATACGTTTTTATATACCGTGTGTCCCGGGTTGAAAGCATCATATAGGCAAACAGAGTTATTATATTTTTTCGCGAGATATCCCCGCGGCTTTTGATATGTATTTGAAGTTAGCATTCAACGTACGTTATTGCGCTTGTCTGATGCTAGAAAGAGATTGGACTAGTACTATGCGACTCGACAGCAACTCATTTTTGATCGCCCATTACGTTGAACGCTAATTTTAAAGGTCTCATGGATCCTTTGCGAAAAAATACATTGTCGTTTCCCTACCTGAGACACTCTTACCACGAACTTGACAATCAGCAGTGGAAGCAAGTGAAATCGCCATACTTGCTGTAACTTCACAGCAAATTTCCCGCGACTCGCACACTATACGGACTGTACCAGCAACACCTAAAAAAGGTGTTGTTGACTATTCTAGCCTTCCACGTGGATTTAAAACAATAGGTCAACTCTCTATATATAGTAGGTATATTTTAGGAAGGATGTCACTTTTATCTCGGCCCTCGTTTGACTTGTAAACTACACTTGACTACGTGTGTACGTAGTACGTACATTCATTACGTTATCATTACATTACGTCCTCGTGTTGTATGGCGCATTTTCAAAAATAAAAATATTGGATACTGGGCCCCTCATCCCCTCGTCCATTATTATACTTTGACTGTTCCTTGTAAAAGATGTAAACTGAACGTTTCCGTGTTGCTTTTGAACTGAAAATGCCAAAACTTATACAGACATTTCGTTGGGTAAACGATTTCAGCAATTGTCGAATTGCATCTGTGGAAAGTAAGTAAATTTCATCTGATTGAGCACTAAAGGTTGGTGTCATTATTTTGGACTAGATCTTGTATGCTTTGGAAGAACGTTTTTGTACTTACCTACTGCTCATTACTTTAATCATCATTTACAAGACGTGTCAAAGAGTTTTGCACTTTTCTTTCGAAGTTTGCTCTAGTCTAGTACGTATACGGTCGCGTTTGTCAACTTTATTTAGAACAGACAAATACATTTCTTGAACATTCATGTATGATCATTCATATAATCTAGAATCTAGACGCCACCTCCTAGATTTTCCATTACCATTTAAGGGAGTAGTTGACTCCAATCTTCACATCGATCCGATTTTTAGACTGGATCAAATTTCTTAGGGCGTTCTTGACTGATTTCAATTCTTCATTTGCAAATGAAATAAGTCGTTTTAGAAATCCAAAGCCTTATTAGCATAACATAATGTCTTAAAGCCTCGGTCTCGCGTTCAAGAAGGCCGATGGCAATTCAATTCATCTAGGTAATTTCTGACCCTTAAGTTCACCTCCCAGAAAAATTGTATATTTTTATTTTTTCAAGGTTTTTTATAAGGGGGTATTTTTTTTGGTGGCCCATTTTCCAAAGGTGAGCTTGAATTTCGGTAGCAAATTTAGCTGAGTTCGATCTGCTCAGCGAACTTACGGTATAGGATCTACTGCTGTACAAAAAGAATAAGAATTTATCACATCACATCATTTTCGTTTCTTATCGCCGATGACCAATCTTTTATGGCGACTAGATGTCAATCGGGATTTCTAGAATATTCGTTATAATATTATCTATCCTAAATGTTTCCACTTCCGGATAAACCCCGTTGAATGACGAGAATATCTTATCACTGGTAAATAGAAACTTCGCTCAATATTTGTTTTGTACCAAAAATTCCCTTTTGGAATGTGGAGGGAGATCAGCTTTTTTCACGGCTTTTTTATTGGACGTAATCCGGTCACTTACATCCCCTTTTCTGTGATGGGCTCGAATCCACTGAAAAGATGTCAAGTACTCGATGTAAATAACACTGGTAAGCTCTACTTTTTAAGCAAGGTATTCCGTTCCCCTTCATCTCTCAAAATTTTCTTATCTCATCTTCAGGCCTTTTTATATCCGCATATAGAAATAGTTCCGTATATTCGCCCGCGAAAAATTCATCAATGGTTTATTCGCTCTGAGGAATATCTTCCCCTTAAATATATTCACCTTCCAAGACACCCTGGATGAATTCGTCTTACAAATTTGCCATCTAAACTTTTCCTACAACACCGAAGGCTCTGAGTTTTAAGAGAAAGGCTCACCTGATAAAAATTTCCGTGACTGTTAACCCTTAAGGAAGATTTTTTCGGAGATTCCCCTTAATTAAGGAGTCCGCAAGTCTCCTAAAGACTTCCCGGAATTGAGTTTTCTTGGGGACAAATTCGGGAGCGAGGAAATTGCGAAGTTGACTTGAAACTTCCCTACTCACTTAGAACATCGCTTACCAGGCGTAACAATTAATTATGTAAAAAACATTGGTGGTAATATACCTACTATCTATTTGTTGTTAGAAAAGCAATTTTTATTTTAAAAAGTACCATTTGTTAATATGGAAATGCGCCTTTTGTAAATCGTTTACCAATGACCAACCTTGTTTATGTTGGACGTGATTTAGAAAGTATCATTTGCATAGACATATTGGTTTTTACCTAAATCATAAATACAGAAGGACACACGACAATAACATTCCAATTACATGTTTCTCATACTAATCAAAAGTTGGTTGTAAATTCATTTTTAGTTCGCGTCCATTGGATTACTAAACTTTTTTTGTGTTTATACATTCCTATTCTAATTAGTAGTTTGTAGCAGTCCCTTCGTAACATTAATTGGAAATGCAATTCCGGAATCAGAACTCTCATACCTATACTGTTATAATTTCAGTAGTTCCCTTGTAATGAGAGGGATTGTGTAAATACTCCCGAACGTATAATTGGACGCGCATCTTTTTACACCTGCATTAATTTTGGACTTCTCTGTTACAGATCTAAGGCCGAAGGGAAGGGGGAGGCCTCAGAGAATTTTATTAGGCGTATGGCCCGATGAGCATATTAAGGGCGTTATACGAGCTGTGGTCTTTAGGGATTCCCATCATATTAAAGAAGAGCCTGTGCTCACCTATCAGCGAATGCATGTGAGTTAATGATTTTAATTGTAGGGCTGTTTGTAAATGGTCCATTTTCTAGGATGGTGTTGGACTGCCACCAAACTATCCTAATAGTTCGTGTAGCAACGGATCAGAGCCGACTGTTTCACCGGGAGCGGCGGCCGCCGCAGCCGTCGCGGCTGTCGCGCAAGGTCTACGGCAGCAAATGTGTAACATGATGGCCGCCGCTCAGCAACAAAATTCCGCACACGACGCGAACCTTGTAAACTCACTGTCATTAGGCGGCCATTGCGGCCCTACCACCGTTCCCAGCAACGGCACTGCCCCAATGAGTATGAGCATGAGCAACATAGCCGCGATGCGACTGGGAAGCCCCGCCGGAAGCGTACAAGATCTAAGGATAAGCCCCGCCGGTTCGGGCCTCGAAAGTCCGCTATCGTCGCCGCTTGGGTTGACGATGTCGAACACCATGGATGCTACCGCGCTTAATTTAGGTATAACAAATAATGTAGATGTCGCTAGTATCGGTGTGTCCGGTATGACCTACAAACCGGCGCGGCCGTTTACATCGCCTCGAGCCGAAAATCTCTTCCAAGAGGACATTGACGAACTGGTGAAACCTATGCACACGTCTACTCCTCGATCGAAAGACACAATGGCTTCCATTAAAATGGAACCACTAACCGAGTGTCGTGGTGAATGAACACAAGCCGTGTTACAATGTAATGTGATACATTATTATTAGTTCTCATTATAGATGTAAAAAAAAAGCTATTTAATTTCCTAATTTATATTTTTAAATTTTAATGTTAATAAATTTCAAAATTTTAGTGAGTAAATAGACAGTTTTGGAATTTTTTATATTATATATATTATATATATCTAGAAGCCAAAGTTTCGGCCAGTTTTATAAAAGACTGTTGTGTATTATGTATACTATTATTCTAAATTCAAAATTTAGAATATCTTAATTATTATAACAGAAATAAGAAATTCACTTGTAGTTGTTAATATCACCACGATAAAGTAAGACACATTTAATGTAGGGAACAGGCAGACATTCCCATTTTCTCTTTGACAATCCACTTCGAAATCCGGTAGGTGTCTTCATTTATCACCAAAATTGGTGTTGTGAAATCACTTTGAGAATTTGCAATTTCTTTTACATGTGCATTAATGAATTGGTGCAATAATCCGTTTATTAAAATTGTTCATATTAACAGACGGGACGGTCAGTGATTATCAGTATTTGTACGTGTATAGTATACGGTCTCCTTTAAGTTATTTAATTTATTGTAATTAACTATTGTAAATATAGAAACTATTGCATGAAATACAGAACTAATTTTACTAAGAATGTGTGTGAAACGAGGTTACTGCAGCTGCTGAATTGTTTCCGCGTTAAATCTAAACAGTTGAAAATTGTACTTAAATCCTAGAGTTCTGATATCGAAACATATCGATCTGTAAAAATGCCAAAGTATAAAAGAGTTTCACACAAAAATTGTTTCTGGCTCAAATTAGTGATTTGTTGCAACGCCAAATGTATATGTTACAGTGTAAAAACAAATAAATAGAAGTATAGGTGTTGTGTATGTACAAAATACAATATGTAGTGCAACTGCCTCGGCATTTACTCGATTCTGTTACGCAGATGCACATGGTTAGCTGAACACAAAGTGGCACATACATTTTAACAATTACATCACAGTTACTCTGTCGACTAGATAATAAGTTAAAATCACTGATGACAAATTATTTTTGTGATTTGTTTAGAATGTAGAATGGAAATAATGTACAAAATTTATATAAAACTTGTAAATGTAGAAGTTAAAATTTAAAGAAAGAAAGAATAAAAATTATAAATGCCTTCCTGCCATTTTAGGGTTTGCCACGCTTGTTTAACTTTGTGCGAGTCAAGATGGTGATATTTAATTCCAAAAAGTGGCCTTTGAATCTTAAAATCTTGTTTTCGAAAGTGAATATAATATTTCGGGAATCCTAAAAAGAAAGTTAGAGCCCTATTTTTCAAAGATGATTTCTAGCGTATTGTGTTTCTCGACTAGGCTGCATGTGTTCAAAAATGAAGTAGTAAGTGCCTTCCAAGCTATAAATGACCACTTATGTCATCCAAGTTAACTAAAATTTTACAAAATTGTGTATTTTAATGTGTTTTCTCGTGGAACGGTATTACCCTGAATGGCACGTTCTTTTTCATATCTCTGTAAATTACATTTATATAAACTTTAGGATATAAGCAAAAGTGATGTAAAATTGGCATTTTTAGATTTTTTAGAATGTAATTATTGAAAATTCCGGTTGGAGCTTTATTTTTAATGTATACTACAATTTAAAAAAAAAAGAACATGATACATAATATATAATTCGATGTTAGTGCAAATATAATCTAGCCTCCTATTAGCCTCTTTTAGTCCGTACGCAATAATTATCAGTACAGTTGTGCTACTCGTAGGATCAATCTGAGAATCATGCAATGGCTCGGTTGTACGCATTTGTAAGTCATATGTGCAGTCTGTTATACTATTATTTGTTTTATATTATTTATTAAAATTTTTCTTTAAATTGTTTATACAATATTAGTGTACATTATTATTTTATGTCTGTATGGTACATACAAGTAAATTATATTTAAACTACCAAAGTCTTTTATTTTCCATACCCAAAATTGTGGTGATTCTCGAACGTATAGCAGTGGCGATCAGGCTTCTCAATCGAAAGTTATAGACTATAAACCAATTTCGAAAGAAAATTCAAAGGGCTGTAACTTTTGAACTAGTTACCCAATCTTGGAACTGTTTGAAATTATGGATTCTAAGGCCACATTCTATAAGAAAATTTTTTTGCCGGGTCTTTCTGAGACAATTTTTTTTCGGGCCTCAAAAAAAGGCAGTGTATAACCTTCCTTTTTTACCAAACATCGACTACACCAAAATTTCTCGGGAAAACACTTTTTCTAATTAATTTTGGTGCGTAGAATCCAAAACAATTCGCACTTTTTCGATCAGACTTCTCAATCAAAAGTTATAGACTAGAAACCAATTTCGAAACAAAATTCAAAGGGCTGTAACTTTTGCACTAGTTACCCAATCTTGGAACTGTTTGAAATTATGGATTCTATACGGGCCACATTCTATAAGAAAATTTTTTTCCCGGGTCGATCTGAGGCAATTTTTTTTCGGGCCTCAAAAAAAGGAAGTGTATAACCTTCCTTTTTTATCAAAAATCGACTACACCAAAATTTCTCGGGAAAACACTTTTTCTTATTAATTTTTGTTCGTAGTATCCAAAACAATTAGTACTTTTTCGATCAGTCTTCTCAATCAAAAGTTATCGACTAGAAACCAATTTCGAAAGAAAATTCAAAGGGCTGTAACTTTTGAACTAGTAGCCCAATCTTGGAACTGTTTGAAATTATGGATTCTACAGGCCTCATTCTATAAGAAAAAAATTTTTCGGGGTCGATCTGAGACCATTTTTTTCGGGCCTCAAAAAAAGGCAGTGTTCCTTCCTTTTTTACCAAAAATCGACTACACCAAAAAGTGATCCAAGCGGAAAAAGCGCTTGCGAGCGGTCCACTCGCGAGCACTTTTCGAAGCGGCCGCTTGGTGCTCGTTATTTGAGCGCTTTTTTTTCTGCCCACGAGCGGTTTTTCCGCTCATGAGCGTTTTTTCCCCTTGCAAGCTCTTTTTCCGCTCGTGAGCTCTTTTTCCGCTCGCGAGTGCTTTTTCCGCTCCTGAGCGTTTTTTTTCGCTTGTGAGGAGCGCTTTTAACCGCCCCCAAACGCTGAATGATTATTTTTCCGCTCCCGAGCGGTTTTTTCCACTACCGAGCGCTTTTTCCGCTCTTGAGCGTTTTTTCCGCTAGAGATAAACCGCTCGAGCACTTCCAAGAGTGCTCGGAACTCGCAAGCGGTTTCGCTTTGAAAAACAACTCGATGCTCGCGAGCATTTTTGTGGCAATTAGATTGCTCGTCGCTCGAGCGTTTTTTAGAACGCTCGACCCAGCTCTACACCTATCCACCACAGCAACGCTCCCAACCCCCCCCCCCCAACCACCAAGCTGGTTTTTAGAAGAAACAATGATAGGCTGATAGGCCTGTGTAATCCTTTGCCGTTCAATATTTAGCACAACCCGGCTTAGGTAGGTAGGTACATAATTCTTACCTTACACAAAGAGGCGCAACAAATGGCAATATCTAGTCCGGTCCTGCACTTTTCAATGGGTTGAACGGTTGATCGCCCATCTCGGAGAACCCTTGATAACCACTCGTGGGCAGCTATACTTTCCAGTCGATCAGCCTTACACCGACCCGGGTAGCTTCTTTTTGTGGGTTCAAAGCGATATGCAGTTCAGAGCCTGGTAGACACATATCTGCCATATGGAAGCCTTAGTGTCCCCACTTTTTGTCCGGGTCGTTCAAAAGGATTTTATTTCAGGGAGATCCTCCATCATCCTTGTTTAGGCCTGCGCTGAGCGATCTTGAGATCTTCCCAGTCCGCAGGCAGCTTAGTTCGCCTAGTTTCAAGGTCACCAAGGCATTCTCTTCGTTCCTCAAAAGGTTCGCAATTTACAGCTGTCCTCATACGACGCTGTAATGGCGTCGCTTACTAATGCCGCCGCCTCTTTCACCTGGCCTGCCTTTCGACAGAGCAAAAGTGGTCCCTCCAACCGCTCTACTGACACTTTCGCCACATAGATGTCCCAGTCAGTGAATCGGGGATTGTGGTCAGTGGCGTTTTTCTGCCTGGTCAAAGGGAGCATATTTTTTAAACAGCAACCAATAGTTTTTCAGTCCCCTGTGGGCTCGAGGGTAGAATTGACCCACTCCCGCCCTGGAGGTCGTAGAAGGCGACCAATGGGACAGGAGGCGGCTAGTCCAACCGTGTCCTGAAATACCCTTAATGTGTTCCAATATAACTCCATCCTATAAACCTACCTTGATTATCCTATCTGTTGTAATACAACAAAGTGAACCGCCCCATCAACATCCACATCAATTCACATAAATGTTAGTGTTACTACCATTCATCCACTATTATTATTATATTTTAACTTCTTAGACGCTACGGCCTGATGATGACATTAATAAAGTCGAAATCGATCGCCTAAACAGGAACTTTTATTTAATAAGGTAGTTCTAAATATATAGAATACACCCTTGATAAAGTCAGATACTTTTGATGCTATAGATTTGTCTATATGTTCGCCCTCATTCCACACTAGCCTAAAATGGGAAGTGGAAAGTGCTTTGTACAATAGTGACCGTTTCCCAATAATTATTACCGTAAGAGGTAATAAGTCCGCGATTACATTTAAAATCCAAAAAGCTAACTGGGAAAAATTTGTTACCCACCTTGTAATCCTGAATGAGGAGCAAGTTTGTCTGAAAAGTCTTACATCTGCTATTTTGGATGCAGCGGAGGCAAGTATACCAAAAGCCAAATGTCGCAAAGGGACTAAAATGGTTCCATGGTGGGCTCCTGAAGTAGGAGAAAAAATGTCATTAAAGAAACGAGCCTTATACAAAGATTCCGCCATCATCCAACATTGGAGAACCTTATTGAATTTAAAAAAAGAAGAGCGGATTGTCGTAGAAAACTCCTGGAAGCGCAAAGGAGATCATGGCAACAATATGTGTCCACAATTATACACCTGATGCCGCTACCACCAATGAAATATGGAAAAAGGTTGGAGCGATATCTGGTAAAACAGGATGTAATTATCCGTAATTCAGAGGGGGTAAGGACGAACAATCTGCAGGAAATATCAAATATTCTTGCGCACCAATTTTATCAAGTCCGACTCCGACACTCCGAGACTTTTCTTGCAACCAAAGGAGATAACGAAGCAAAATTTATTGAATTTAATACACAAGCATGCGCAGGTGTACTAGCCACAGCCAATTTTTTTGTTGTCATATTAAAAAAAAGTTCATTCTTTAATAAGCCTCACGAAAAATATTCTTTCCAAGCGGCCCTCTAAGTTCTGTAGACACCTCGGTAGACTCACGCTACTTTAAATAATGTTTAAGCATGTAGATTTACTCACTTCTTTTCAATGATTTTTGATACAATAAATTGCTTTCACATACCAAACTAGGATACCATCAAGTTTTTTTAAAAAACTCCATTTCTGTCCACCACATAAAAACCCAATAAGACAAAACATATATTCAACAATTGTATGTAATTGAAACATTTGTACTTAACCATTTGTAACATTAATTAGAATCACAGCATGTAGAGATACTTGTTATATCTATGCAAAAAGTGAGTTATGTCTTCTTTATTTCCGAAGTGTACCTTAGGATCTGATGAATCGGCTGCATCTACAAACACTTAATTATAAATGACATTACAGGTTTCATAAAGGATTACTCTGTCGATATCCTCATAAATTTTAGCTTTCACTTGGCTCAAACGTTTTGATATAATTTGGCAACGTTGTATGTTTGCTTGCCTTTGATCATTCAGCGCGCCTTCCATGTTTTTCTGTAAAGAAATACAGTAATCTCTCGCAGAAACAGTGTGAAAGTACCTTTATCTCTTCCATGGTTTTATGATATTTGTCCTTATACTCAGCTTCAACTTTGGCTTTAATCAAATCATTCGAGCCGTCATCACCTCCACCGCCATTGTCCTGCAAAACCAAAATTAGACAACAACAGTGGAGAAGATCTCACCTGTAGTACTCTCAGTGCATTTCCATACTTTTCGGTATATTCAGCTAAAGTTTGCTTGCTGTACAATGCTATCTGCTCAGCTTCCGCCCTTGCGTTCATCAACTGTTGCTTGCTGCTTTCGTGTTCTCGTTCAAGCTGATCGAACTTCTCTTCCCACACGGTAAATAAGTTTACGACTGCCTCGCGATCGTGCTGACGCAAATCGTTTAGTTGCTCGCACTCTTCTTGCAACCTTTTGCAGTTTTTACATTCGTGCAATGTATTATGATCCGAAATAGCCTTACTTAGTTTCTCATCAAACTCCTTCTTTAGTTTTTGATGTAACTTTGCTTCTGTTTGGTATAGGAGAGTGTCATGCTGTACTTTCAACAATGAGCTGTCATCTAAAACATGATCTAAGTACGAAAGCGTGATGCAGGTGGAAAATTACATTCGTGAGTTGTGTTGGTGCCAATTGATACAGTTTTGTGATGTTTCTGTCTCTTTTGAATGATCTTCTCGAACTCCGTGGCTTTTTGTTGCAGATTTTTAATTAAGCTCTCCCTTTCGTGTTCTAAACCGATTTTAACTTGAAGTTGTGAATTTTCTTCTTGCAACTGTTTCATTTGATTTTCGAGTACTAATATTCGATTACGAGCGGTTAACAGTTGTTCTGAAATTCAGATTATTTTGATTGAGCTGAAGTTTTATCGCTAAGCTTCTTGGGCCTATCCCAAATTGAATTGATTTTGACGCTTTTTGGAAAACTCGTTGCGTTTATGTTTAAAAATCCGTACTGAAAAGCAAGGTCGAGATCGACTCAAAAAGCACCCGCGATCGACCGTTTGAGCACCACTGCTGTAGTTATTTTACCCACCTTGAGAATTAGTGTAATCTAAATTATTTATAAACGGCAGAGACGTTTGCACAGAACGCTCGTCCTCCCGATGACTAACTTGAAGATCGGTGATTTTCTTTTGCAAATTTTCGTTTTCCGTTTTCAAAACCCTGAAAAATACCGAAGGGGTTTATTAACGCTTCGATCAACTTTACATACTTCACAAGCTGACTTTCCGCGATGAAACGAGCCTGCTGATTCTCCAACTGCTGCCTAAAATACAGCATTAGCGTCAATGTATATCACATTGTAGATACTCACTTTTCATCTTCACAAACTTTTAGTGTCTTTACAAGTCCGTCTTTCTCTGCCTTCATTTCACTTAAAAGTTTACATTATTGCAAAGCCAATTTAATAAGTCGCTACTCACCTCAAGGAGGCTAATAATTTGCGAACGTTATTTTCAAGCTCCTGCTTCTCCAAGCTTAAGCCACTACAAAGGAAATAATAAGCTGCTAGAGTTAGCAAAATGGACTAACTACCTTAAAGCTTCTATTTGATTTTGAACATTGCTCAATTGATTCTCGTTGACGCACAAATCATGCTTTAATTTCTCATTTTCGGCCTTTAATAAGGAAACTTCTGTCTACAGTTAAACGTTATTAAACGACAAAAAAAGTTAATTTTACCTCAAATTGGCCGGTAACCTCCCGCCGGATTTCTTTCTCGAGCGCGTCTTTCTCGCGAATTTTCTGAAGCTCTCTTTCCAAGTGTTGGTCTAAAAATGGAAGTTTATACCTGCTCAAAAGCGCAACACATACTATTAGTAAGCTGCAGTTTTTCCGTCTGTTCGTTCGTAACTCTGAGGATTTCTTGGTACTGTTGCAGTAAACGTTGATTGTTTTCGGTCAGTGTACTTATTACCACGTTTTTTTGCATCAAGTCACTATCACGATTGCAAAGATTACGCTTAAACTCTTCCTCTAATTCCCTACATCGCCGCTCCTACAGTAATAATATTGTTATTTAGTGTTATAAATTTGTGTACTGTTAGAAATTCATTATTCATTGCAAATAAATAAATCATGTAATTAAATATGCCTATAGTCCAATTGGGTTGCAGTGGCAGTAGCCCTGAGTGGAACTACAAGTGTCCTGGGTCAAAATCCCAGGTTTGTATATGTTGAGTTAAAACAAAATAAAAACCCCTTTTAATCAGAAAAAATTCAAGTGTCAGTTTTTTTTTAAAATTGGCGAAAAATTGACTTATGGGACACCTTGTATAACCCATCTCCAGTGCGGGGAATGGTCTGTCGCGTCTGCATTTAGCAGATCAACGTCCGCACACGGGGGAGTTCTAATACTACTAAAAAACCAAACAAATTTTAAAGTGTTCAATGATGTGAATGCATTGTGTATAGAAAACCAAGTGGAGATAAAAGCTGTTCAGTACCTCAAAAGTGATGTATATATTGTTGTTGTATATAGACCACCAAGTGGTGACTTCAAATTATTTTTGCAGACAGTAGAAAATTTATTACCTATGTAAATTAGGTAATAAGCGAACCATAATTTCAGGCGACTGGAACGTCCGTTTTGGCACGGATGATACCTACTCAAATGCATTATGTGACACTCTAGATTCGTATGGTTATATACGGACTATTTTCACTCCTACTAGGAACAAAAATTGCTTAGATAACATATTTATCAATTTTTCACTTGAAAATTTTACAGCGTCTGTTGTGTCACCAAGCATATCAGATCATAATGGTCAGATAATTAGCGTACTTTTGCCACTCGATAACTGTTCATAATGCTCAGAAGTCTATTAAGTTTTGCCGACCGCTTACTTTTAAAGGGTCCATTGTTTTACAGGGACTTCCTTGATAATCCAAGTTCAGATGCAAACCATAAATATGATACATTCTTTACTCATTTCTATGATGCGTACAAAATAGCTTATTCTGAAAGGAAAATGATAACCAGGAAACGTGATGCTGACATAAAATGGTTTACACCTGAATTGCAGCGCATGCGCGACCACTTAAATTTTTTAACGACCTTGTGTCGCGACAGTAAATGTGAAACTTTACTTAAGAACAGAAGTCACTACTTGTCTAAGTATCAATGTGCATTAAAACATGCAAAGATACATGCAACCAGTAGTTTTATAATTCATTCAAAAAATCGATCCAAGGCTATGTAGAGTGTTGTCAAGAGTTGCATTAGCAGGAAAAATTCAGAAAATGCGGATACTAGTCGTATATCAGCGGACGATTTTAATGAATATTTCATTAACATTGCATCTGCCGTACCACCGTATCCGCTAGTGCACAATAATATTAATAACACCATGCCCACCGAACATCGGCTTCAAATTTAACTCAGTTTCTTGTGTAGATGTTCGCGACATAATATTATCATTAAAACCTAGTAAAGCTAAGGATGTTTAGGGTCTTTGCACCTAATTATTAAAGAAAAATTTATCAAACCTTGTTTCGCCTCTTAACTAGATTAGCAAATTTATGCAAATTGTAAATTATTTCGAAACTAATAAGTTGTTCAGCAAACGTCAATTTGGTTTCAGAAAGAATAAAAGCACTGTAGATGCAATTTTAGACTTAACAGAATACATTTTAGAAGGTTTTGAAAGGAAAGAATATACAGTAGCACTATTCCTTGATCTGACAAAACCACAAAACTTTAATAAATAAACTGGAAGCATACAATTTTCATACGAATAGTGTTAAACTTATTCGATCATATTTAGATCACAGATTTCAAATTGTGAATTTTAAAGGTAAATCGAATAGACTCCCTATAAAAGTCGGTGTGCACAGGGTAGCATTTTAGGCCCATTACTTTTCTTTATACAAATAATTTTTCTAACTGTGTAATTACAAATAATATCCGTGAAATCATGTTTGTAGATGATACAACGGTTATTACAAAAAACAAATGCTTAACAAACGCTGCTCAACAAATTGAAGAAGCACAATCGAAGGCCTCTGACTGGTTTCAAATAAATCATTTGCGTGTAAATATGGACAAAACTCAAAGAATGCTATTTTCACTTAGAGCATCTTGCGATTTGCAAATGGCCGAATCTGGAAAGTTACTAGGTGTTAACTTAGACTCTAAGTTATGTTGGAGTAATCATACGCAGGTTCTGGCCACTAAATTAAGTAAAAGCACTTATGCATTACGTAATTTAAGAAACTCTGTTTCAAGTGATGTTTTACGGACAGCATACTTTGCGATGAGTCATTCTCTCATTTCCTATGCTATACGTCTTTGGAGGCACTCACATGGTAGTCTTCGAATCTTTGCTCTACAAAGAAGAGCAGTGCATATCATTACAAATACAGACTTTAGAGCAGACTGTAAACAAGCTTTTGTAACATCAAAAATTATGACAGTACCTTGTATGTTTATTTTTGAATGTTTAATGCAAGGAATTATCACTTGTTTAGTACACATAGGGATTATCACTCTTACGACACTAGAGGATGTGATGAGATACGTTCAAAGTACTAGAGGACAAGCAAATCCCAAAACAACCCTCACTATTGGGCAACTAAACTATAACAGTCTCCCTGAAAGTATAAAAAATTATCAAAGTCCTCGTGTGAGATCGAAGGGACTTCTGCGCATTTTTGTGTGGCAGATCAGTATTCTATTAGCCACTTTCGACTCAACCATTAATAACAGATCTTGTCGAAGGCTCGCAAAAGGTCGTTAATTTCCCCCTAGGACAAAAAACAAAATTCCGCCACGCAGGAGTTGTGCGCGTTTACAACATCTTTCCGACGACACCAATTTGAAAAGAATCGGACCAAAACTGTAGTAGAAGATAGGAAAAAACTGAAAAACCTTCACGTTAGTATACTACGCTCGAGGATGACGCCCAGATGTCGCCAACCCCACAGCATGCAGTCATGTCCCTAAGGTTGACAAATTTCACGGCCTTGTAGATACACGTACACCCGTTGCCTTTCTACAAGAGTTCTTCTACGCGCCCACATTTGCAGCCAGCCAGCCAGCTAGCCAAAGTGAGATTAAAAGCTACTTTTTACAAATAAATTTGCAAAAATGCGCTAAAAATATGGATGTTGCAAAGTATAGAGTGGCAATAAGACAACACCTACGAGTATTACGGCATGTCTTCTATACTAGTGAGGAATATTTAAATCACAAGCACGATGTGTAAGCATAATTATGTTGACGTTTGCAAATACGTTTGTATAAAGCAAGAAAAAATAAATCTAAATCTATATTTACAAGATGACATTAGAGCTGCAGGCTTAGATCATATTGTTTATATGATCTAAGGCTGCAGGTACATACAGCTGACTGTTAAAAACTTGACATGTACTCTGTTTCTAATCTCCAAATATTTTCCCTCAACAATAATCTCACTGGGGTGGGGGTTACTGCATCATTCCACGTCTCTGATGGTTACATACCTACCTGTGTGTCAGCTATTAAATGTGTAGTGCCACAAGGTTCTGTCTTGGGGCCTATTTTTTTCCAATTAAGTTGTAAATCAGCATATGCATGATGAAAGCGCATTTTTGGTAATATCAATCAGTATTTTATTAGCGAAGTTTAGAATTATCTCTCATGAGCAAGGCAGTGATTTTATGCAAATGCATGTTTTAAATTAATAATATGCCATGTGTGTGCTTTTGGATCTGGGCTGATCAACTTGAATATACTTCAAATAACCCAATTAATTTTTGCATATTTCAGTGCCCTTGTGCATAAAATATTATCAAGAGCATATTCAAGCATTTTTGATTCCTGTGTAGTTATTTCTAAAGAATTTTTGTCTCTGGCCTATTATAAAATTGCAAAGCAAGAAACTTTTGCGCTTTCCTGTTCATAACTCGACGCCACGGGTTTTGTGTATCTTAGTGAGTCATAAATTCCGACGATTGCATAAAAAGCTTGCAGTTTTTACGTCTGCATTTGTAGTCGCTGCCGTAATTATTAGTTTTTCTTTGGAGTTTTACGAAGCAGTACCGACTTAGTAGCATTTTCCTTCTCGTTGTTATCAAAGGGTAGCGTAAGTTGAAATTAATTAGTTTTTAGTTATATTTTGTGCATTTTTTTTTTGAAAATTATACTATGAAGTTGTTGCAACCTGTTGTTTTAAATACTAAAATTTGTGGAAAAATTGTGCATTTTAAAAGAGCATGATGCATATTTGGTGCATAATTATCACTATTTTTGTGCGTATATATGCGCATATTTCTACATGTTGAAGTGCATATTATTCCCTGATGACATGAGTAATCTAACTCAAAATAGGCTAGAACCTGCACATCTACACTATAGCAAAAAGCTGTTAGTGAAAATTTGAAGTCTATAGCTATTTTAGGTACTTGCTGAGATCTCAGCCGGACAGCCAGGCAGCCAGCCATAACGAATATAAGTGTATTTTTTTTCAAAAATGCGCTAAAAATTGCAAGACACATTTTTATGTCAATGATACTCATAACTTACTACAGCCCCTTTATGTACAACTTACTAGCTACAATATATAAATAATTAGAAAATACTGAGCAGTATGTTTAATGACTCGTGAAGAATATATGCTGCAGAAACAAGAAATATTTCGTAGCCGTCATTTTTATATAAAATGAGTTTTCCTCTGTTAGATGCTGAACTTCACAGTTTTAAAGTAACATTTACGTTTATTAAAGACAATAAATGCTATTTAGTGCACACAAGCACTGAGGTACCTTATGAGCAATCTCCTCCTTCGCTTGAAACAGAGTTTTTTCCAGCTGATCAATCTTAACTCTCTGCGTTTCCTGAAATTCTTTATCAGCGGCGGCAGATTTCAAAGGAAAACCGTTTTGCATCAATATCCTTTGCTGCTCCAAGTCCATGTTCAACTGCCGCAACACACTATTCTCATCGTCCAGCTGTAAGCAAATTATTGAATAGAACTCAACAGTTACACCAAACGAACCTCTTTCAATTTAGATTCCAAATTGGCCAACGCGTTTTTAAAACTATTCAGTTCTACAGTTAATTTCTGAATTTGGTCGACTTTCTCAACTGCAAATACAGCTTGATTTGTGCATAAATAGGCCTATCCACTCACCTACAAGACTTTGAGATTCTTTTAGTGTCCCGGATTTCCGTTGATTTTCAGCTTCGTGTAGCATAATTTGTCTCTTAAGCCCCTTCTCTTGCTCCTTCCATTCTAACTTCAACTTTTCCATTTCCTTATTTAAAGTTTCCACCTCGCGCACTCTAATATCGTACAAAACTTTTAACTGTTCGTTGGCATTCGCCTCACGGTACATATCGTGCAAGGAATCGACATCTTGACGGCCTACGCCGGTCTCGTCGTTAGATCTAATTGAGGAATTGATCGTGCTTTGATCATCAAAGTCGAACTGTGCCAGGGCCTGCGATATCAAGCTGTGCATCTGCAAATAGGGGTATGAGAAGTCGCAATGTTATTTTCTAACACCCTCACCTCTTCTTCGCGGCGTTTACGGTCTTCTAATTCCTCGGCTTCTTCCAAATTTTGATTGTGAAGAATCAGAGAGTTGTTAAAGTCCATATTTCTATCATCTGCCATAGTTATTTCTTTGAAAATTTTGCCGCGGAACTAATTTTTAGGTTAAAGGTTATGTTATGACATTTCATGAATATGCCATTAGTTAAAGTTAGTGAAATAAGCAATTTTTCCCATTACTTAAAAGTTTTTTCCTGCTTTGGCTTGAACATTGATTATTTGTATAATTAATGGCTTGAATTAATATTCCTAAACGGAGTGTGAGTGGCGTAATTTTAAATGAATAATAAAGCGAAATGCCAGTCAAAAAGTAGGATGGTAAAAGAATTTTTGAAGTAACTCATAACTGCATATCGCTCTACTATTCGCGATTTAGATTAACAGTGAAACCTCTGGTGGCAGCACATTGTAATTACTATTGGTGGTATAAGACCACCATTTTGTTTATTTACAATGGCCAAAAGTAATCAATATTGTAGGTTTTACGGCTGTAAAAGTAAATACACTTGCAAACATTTCATTTGCAATTAATGTAATTATACAGCTTAATTAAAGAGCAATATTCTCGGCTTTGAATAATTTTCCATCACTGTTATCAGTGTAATTACATTACATTTAAGACCTTTCAGGTAGGATAGGATTAAGGGGTTATTATTTTCAAGTCTCAAAAACGGCAAGATAAACTCAATTCTCTTTCAAATTAGTTAAAAACCTGCATGAATAACCCAATGTTTGCAAACCGCTACCACCTATATACGCCATTTGTAAATTACACCAGCGCCTCTAGCTAGTGATAATCTGATTCGCGAATGTGTTTTTGTCTGAAAGGACACCCTGTATGTGCAGGCAGGCTGAAATCAATTTGACAACCTGGCTTTATGTGCACATGCGCATTTCAAATGTTTTATTAATCACGATGAACTGTCAATCGGTTAGCAAAGTGGTCGATTGATTATCATTATTTTATTAAATATGTCACTACTAGGATTAATTTTGCTATCAGTACATGAGGTTTGTATTTTTCGTTTTAATTAGATCACCTTTCCTATTTGTAAGATTCCATCTTCATTCACATTACGTAAGATAAATAAGGCGAATATAAAGTTTCTTTCCACTGCAGTGGAAAAATGCTTGCTTGCATAAAGATGTGTTATTTATAAAAATGCTGACTTGTTCCAAGCTCTGCATAGTTTTATTCTAAATCTAAAATCACAATTGTGTTCATTAGAAATATAGCTGAGGTTATGGCTAACGGAACTAAGGAGAAATGGGATCCAGGTGAGAGAAGTTGCCCCCTTGTCGTTGTTGTAGTTTGCAGAAAATTTCCATTGGCATCTGTGTTTTCGTTATGGCTTTGCGTAATTCCCAATGCTTGAGAGTGCACTTTGTGTTCTTTTCTCACTTGATCCACCACTTTACTAATACGAATTTGTAAATTGTCAACAGCCTTATCTCGTTTGTTAACATCTCTCCAACAAGCTAAAGAATTGCCTTCAACTGAAGAAGAATTGGGATTTTTGAGCAATCTACTTCAGTCTAAAGAATTACACGCGTTAGTGAACGTTCACAATAAGATAATTAGCAATGGGGCTAGTGATAAATTTTTTCCTATGTTATCGACTTCGATGCACGTTATGTTTGATGTACTGGAAGTCTTAGCACCTAAGACGCCCCTATCCGAAGATTGCAAAGAACTATTTTATTTACTGCAGCGACCGCACGTTCAGGTAACGAATATCGACCCTTTCAATAAGCGTGTAAAGTAATCACAACTGTAGGGCTTGTTGTGCGCTCACGATGCCATCGCCCAAAAGGATTACTATCCTCATCTGCCCGAAATACCGGTCGAGGTCGACGAGGACGAAGAGACGATTAAAATCGTACAGCTGGTTAAGAGTAACGAACCGTTGGTAAGTGCCGGTTTTGAGATTTCTGTAGCGTAAAGTTTGTGGTATAATCGAAAATGCTCATGCAGTTTCTTTGTCCTTTTTTTGTTTGCAAAGGCGGGCGCTCAAAATGCTGAGCCTATTGTTGTAAGTATCTATTCGTTACAGACTGCTCATTCGAACAACACACTGTGTGAAGTTGGCCGTAGATTTTCTTCTAGATTTTAAATTGGGGGAGAATTAATCCCTTAATTAAGACCCTTTTGGTGGTAGTTGGGCATCTACCACACTACAACAACCTAGCCCGCATCATTCAAATTTGTAACACAACACACAGTGTTATATAGGTATAAGTATGTAAAAAAAAATTGGGTGGGAGAGGGGATCAAAACAGGCATTTTTTCCGAATAAACCGAAGGTCCAACGTCTTTTGTTTGGGAGCCACCCCCAAAGAATTGGTGAAATGTGCATGAAAATCACGAATCTGAAATTGATTTTTGAAATTTCGAAAAAAAAATTCTACTGCAATTCTTGGCCGGACAACGTAAATGGTGAGAATTCCACGAAATTCGTTGTGCATATACTTGACGAGTTAAGGAACAAAATTGTTGAATAGTTTTTTAAAATCACTTTTAAAACAACAGTTATACTCATTTGAATATTGGGCTTTTGGGTCACAAAGTGTCCCCCGCCTACTAGTGAGTGATCTAATTTCGCATGTAGTTAATTAAAAATGGCGCAAATAACAAAAAAATAATAAGTTTGACTGTTTGGGATTTTATCCATACCCATGTAAGATAGAGAAAAGGCAAAAATTGCCTATTTTAGATATTTTTACGTAGAATCCAGTGGCGCACAACAAAATTTTAAACCACCGTTTTTTAGATTAGCCTACATGGATGCGTAATGACCTATATTTTTATTTAAATTTTAGGGATTACCCAAAAATAACCTTATTTTTTAAGGTTTTTAAATAGTAGGCCATGGATTCATGGAGATTTTTTAAAATTGTATCCATGGTATCTATGGCGGCCGATATCAATCAATAAAAATGCCTGATGGTAGAAACATGGCATATCAAAAATTTGAAGCTAATATACAGTGTGTTCAAGATAAGAGGGTCGGAACATCTCGTTTATTTGGCGAGATTTAAAAAAATGGTTGAATATAATTCTGTATGTGAAATCATGATCTATTTAATTTCTGGTATTATTTCCGCCTAAACCGCCTGTATATTTTTTTAAAGATCGTTGCAAAGGGCAATCAATTTGCTGTAGGCCAACATAAAATATGCATATTGGTTGATAATACAAGAAATTACGAAATTTGTTATTCGATATTTAATGAACTCTAGCATGCTATGTGCTGTCAGGACGTGTGGTGGTACACGGCCAAATAAGAATGCGAGGTACTGTATCTGGGAACCTGTCCATCGTAGCCGAAGAATAACTCCTTTCAATTAACCCGAGTTTGTTTAAATCGGCTCTGCCGTTTCGAAAATACAGGGTGTTCTTTACGGAAACCTTTGAATACCCCCCACCACTTCATTTTTAGATATACAGGAAAAATTGTCAAACAAAAATTGTTCAGATTATCGTCAACTTCAAAGACCGGACATTTTTTTGTTAGGTTGATATAGCGGAATTCACAGAAACATCACTTTTTTAGATTCCAGATTGCATTTACGCCTAGCGGCCATTTCAGAAACTTAAAAATATTTTCCAGGTTTTGCTCGTGGCCGTTTTAGTAATACATTTTTTACTGCAAGCCTCTACGATGGATAGATTCACAGATACAATACCTCGCATTCTTAGTTGGCCACCCTGTACATCCTGACAGCACACAGCATGCTCGATTCCATTAGTTTTCTAAATATTAAATAACGAATTTCTCCATTTTTTTTGGTTAAAGATAAGAGTAGGTATGATTGGTTATGATTATTATTTTCCAAAAAACGGCAAAAAAATAAGCACACACACCCTATTACCATTTCCAGAAAGTACTGTGAGTTATAGGGAAAGTAATTATCGAGACCTCTTTTGGTGCGTGGGTATAAAACCTTGCCTTTTTTTAGCATAATTTTCCCCTTTTTTGCTGGGGGGTATTGCATACCCCCAGACCCCGGTGGTATGTTCTCTGCAATACTTCTTGGGAGAAGATTATCTAGGGATTTTTTCCTAAAAGGTACCATGAGAGTCCCGAGGGCTAGATGTTTTGTAGGGAAAAGTGTTACCAGGAGTATGGAATAGCCTCCAGCACACCACACATCTTCCAGACACCTCCCCCCCCCCTTCCTCTTTTGGATCACCCTGTATATATTTATAATATTACCATGGACTATGATATTACCAAACTTGAATAACATTTATAGTCCAAACAACTAACTATGTAGGTATTAAACTTATTTTTCAAAACTTAATAGAATAGAAAATGAGATTGGGGGGGGGGGGGCCAAATATAGTGAAGAACTTGTAAGTATATAGGGTGTAGCATCTAAGATCTTTCAGATGATATCTCATTTACCATAAAAAAATACCAAAAAAAATCCTGGATCAAAATTATACACAATTACCGTCGCCGTGTTTCTAAAATATTTCTGACCATCAGTGGCGTACAAAAAACCCACGCATTCCATAAGAACATTTCAGGAGAAAAACAAGTCGAAGGAAACGCCTCCTCACAACTTATGTCTTTCTGTGCCACGTTTCTCTTTTAAAATTTTTATCACAATCGGACCGAACCAAGCTTTCGCGTCCATCATTAAATTCTTTTAAAAAATTGTATGAGGATCACAGATACTTATAAATTTATTAGGAGACACATCTCACAAATTAGATTCGTCTGTCCCAAGTTCCTCTTTTGAAAATGTTATCAGAATGATATGCTTTCATGGTCGTGACCAATTTCTTTAAAAAAAACGGTATCAGGATCACAGAAACTTAAGAAATTTAATAATATACACCTCGCATAAATTACATTCTTCCGCCCTAAATTTCTCTTCTGATAATTGTATATACATACTTTTGCTTTCCTGATAAAGATATCCTTTAAAACATTGTATCAGGATCACAGAAACGTATACAATGTAATAGGAGACACTCCTTACAAAATAGCCTTTTCTGTCGAAAGTTTCTCTTAAAAATTTTCAGAATCAGAATCAGACGGATACTTCTCGCTTCCATCATAAAAATTCCTTTAAAAAATTGTATCAGGATCACAGAAACTTGAGAAATTTAATAGGGGACACCCCTCACATATTATGTCTTTCTATCCCAAGTTTCTCTTTTAAAATTTTTATCAGAATCGGACAGAACCAAGCTTCCGCTTCCATTATAACAATTCTTTTAAAAAATTGTATGAGGATCACAGCAACATACATTTATTAAGGGACACCTCTCCCGAATTAGATTCGTCTGTCCCAAGTTCCTCTTTTGAAAATGTTATCAGAATGATATGCTTTCGTGGTTCTGATAAAAAATTTTTTTAAAAACGGTATCAGGATCGTAGAAACTTGAGAAATTTAATAGGAGACATCTCTCACAAATGATGTCTTTCTGTCCCAAGTTTCTCTTTTAAAATTTTTGTCAGAATTGAACAGACACAAGCTTTCGCTTCCATCATAAAAATTCCTTTAAAAAATTGTATCAGGGTCACAGAAACTTATAAATTTATTAGGAGACACATCTCACAAATTAGATTCGTCTGTCCCAAGTTCCTCTTTTGAAAATGTTATCAGAATGATATGCTTTCATGGTCGTGACCAATTTCTTTAAAAAAAACGGTATCAGGATCACAGAAACTTAAGAAATTTAATAATAGACACCTCGCATAAATTACATTCTTCCGCCCTAAATTTCTCTTCTGATAATTGTATATACATACTTTTGCTTTCCTGATAAAGATATCCTTTAAAACATTGTATCAGGATCACAGAATCGTATACAATGTAATAGGAGACACTCCTTACAAAATAGGCTTTTCTGTCGCAAGTTTCTCTTAAAAATTTTCAGAATCAGAATTAGACGGATACTTCTCGCTTCCATCATAAAAATTTCTTTAAAACATTGTATCAGGATCACATAAACTTGAGAAATTTAATAGGAGACACCCTTCACAAGTGTCTTTCTGTCCCAAGTTTCTCTTTTAAAATTTTTATCAGAAAAGGACAGAACCAAGCTTTCGCTTCCATTATAACAATTCTTTTAAAAAATTGTATCAGGATCACAGAAACATAGATTTATTAAGGAACACCTCTCCCAAATTAGATTCGTCTGTCCCAAGTTCCTCTTTTGAAAATGTTATCAGATTGATATGCTTTCGTGGTCCTGATAAAAATGTCTTTTAATAAACGGCATCAGGATCGCAGAAACTTGAGAAATTTAATAGGAGACATCCCTCACAAATTATGTCTTTCTGTCACAAGTTTCTCTTAAAATTTTTGTCAGAATTGAACCGACACAAGCTTTCGCTTCCATCATAAAAATTCCTTTAAAAAATTGTATCAGGGTCACAGAAACTTATAGATTTATTAGGGGACACCTCTTACAAATTAGATTCGTCTATCCCAAGTTCCTGTTTTTAAAATCTTGTCAGAATGATATGATTTCCTGCTCTTTTAAAATTTAAAATTTTTATATATACGTTCCACATTATCTTTTGTTTATGCGGAGGAGCCCGTCCCGGCCCGGGGCCCACCCAAGACGAATCGGAGGGGCCCACCGAGAAATTTCCCGGTATCCCGCCTGGCCAGTCCGACACTGACCATTCAGCAATCATCCTCCTGTTATTGCATTTCCGATTATTTTTTCATTTGTGCATTTGTACATGCATAAACCCAATAAGATCTTGAAAATCAAAAGTGAAAATTCTTTTGGATGAACAGAATTCGTACAGATCCAAGCGACTACATTTTCAGCAATCCCCTCAATTGAAAATTTATGTCTGGAATCTATGGCTAATTCCACACCTATAGGCTTCATTTTCTATATCATTTTCATCTTTTTTTGTTGTTTCGTCTTTTGAATAACTACAAACGCAGGGAGCCACCATAAAGACGGACGAGGAAACCGGAAAAATTGTGATAGCTAGGGTAATGCATGGAGGCGCCGCCGATCGTTCCGGTTTAATACACGTAGGCGACGAGGTCGTAGAAGTCAATTCGATTAACGTCGAGGGAAAGACGCCTACCGACGTCTTGAGTATTTTGGTATTTAACCCGTTGGGCCATTTCCTTATCCTATAGTCGACTTTTTCAGCAAAATTCCGAGGGAACAATTACGTTTAAGTTAATACCGGCCGATGGTAAGGGCAACGTGAGGGAGAGTAAAGTGAGAGTGCGCGCGCATTTCGACTATAGCGCGTTTGGCGACCCCTATATTCCGTGCAAGGAAGCGGGCCTTGACTTTGTGAAGGGCGATGTTTTGCACATCGTTTGCCAGGATGACGCTTACTGGTAATACATTTGTTTAGTTAGGTTGTCTATGTGTGCATTATTTTTTCCCGCGCACTTTTTATAAAAGTACTGATAATGTGTGGTACTTTAACACCAGGTGGCAAGCACGTAAGGAGGGTGATCGCAATATGCGAGCGGGTCTGATACCCAGTCGCGCACTTCAAGAGAGAAGAATCATCCACGACCGCACTCAGTCCCAAACGGAAAGCGACAATGGTAGGTTTGCCCACTTCTGTTTTCTAAAACCCTCGCTTTGCATGTGGCCTTGTACGTTTCAAAGAAGCGAGAAGCTGCATCTTTTTCACTGTCAGTAAAATTTAGTAACGAAGGCCGCTTCGGCCATAGGTCTTTGCTCTGTTTCAGCTTTGCCTGTTTTATCCTGCAGTCAGTCCCCGAAATCCCCCCGTTGTGCATCTAAACCTAAAACTAAAAAGATTATGTATGAAACAGCTGAAAACGATGATTTTGATCGGGAACAAATCGCGACCTACGAAGAAGTGGCGAAATTGTATCCCCGACCGGGTCTTTATCGTCCCTTAGTTTTGATCGGCGCCCCTGGTGTTGGTCGAAACGAGCTAAAGCGGCGACTCATCGTTACCAATCCGGATAAATACAAAACGCCCATTCCATGTAAGCAACACCGCCAATTCCTTGCCAGTTTTTAATGTGCAATTTAGATACGTCGCGCGCAATGAAACCAGGTGAAGTAAACGGGAAAGAATATCATTTCGTGACACGTGAGAAGATGGAGGAGGATATCGAAGCGACGCGATTCATAGAGTTCGGCGAATATAAGGGGAATTTGTACGGGACGTCATCGGAGAGCGTCAAAGCTTTAATCAACACCAATCACGTTTGCATACTAAGTCCCCACTATCAAGCATTGAAAATGTTACGAATACCTACCTTAAAACCTTATATCATTTATATCAAGCCGCCCCCTCTGGAGGCGTTAAAGGAAACTAGAAATGCTCTACACGCTCGTTCTACGTTTGACGTAAACAATTCCAGAGGTTTTACAGTTAGTGATCTTTCGGCGGATGTTTGTATGAATTACTACCGTATTTGTTTTCAGGATGAAGAATTTGATGATATAATTAAGGCCGCGGCTCGCATAGAATTTTTATACGGTCACTTCTTCGACGATGTTATTGTTAACGAAGATTTGGCCGTCGCGTTCACTCAACTAGTTGCTGCTGCTAATCGCGTCGAAACGGAACCAACCTGGGTGCCTGCGTCATGGGTTCAGTGATCATTAGGTTATGCTTCAAAAAGCCAAAAAGTATATAAATATCTATTGTACAAATTATTCTTTAATGTTATTCACGAATTTGTTGCTCGAAATGTTGTACGCTACTGATAGTGGCGATTTTAACTAAAATTAAGTATTATCCCTACGGGCAGGGGGAGGTTGCAATTGGACACTGTTCTTCTGGCAGTTGCATTTGTTGAATCACTGGTTTTCGTAGTGCAAAATTGAGGAATTGGTTTGTCTTAATGTTAACTGTCTTAGTGGGTGGGTGTGAAGTTGGCTCTTCATTTTTCAGGAAAATTGCACTCAACCCGCACAGCACGGGAAGGACTAAGATGTTTTTGTTAGCACAATCGAACTTTGGAAAGTACCAACTTCACACAGACTTATATTAAAAAATACACTGTTTTTGTCAAATTACTTCATGCATAGCCATGTCTTATTAATCAAATCAAATTTGTTAATCTTTTAGAGTTAACACTGCCATCTTGTACTTCAATTCTAAATTGATGTTAGCTTATAGTATTTTAACCACATCTTTATTTATCCCCATTGTTTTATTTACATGTTTAAGCCAATTGTGGAACTAATGACTGCTAGCATTAGCACGTGACTGTACTAAGCCTATAGTTTTTAAAGACATCGATTCTGCTCATAATTGTTGAAGTTTAATCGTCGAGATCCGATGTAAGTTCTCTCATGTGTTGCCCACTTGCCTTGTCAGTATTTTTTTATTTAACGACACATTAAATAGGTTTAGCCCAAAATGACAAAAAGCCGAGTCGCACAACACTGCATTGTTATTTTGGGCCTTCAGTGTAATGAAGTTTTTATTGGTAGGTTGGATGGAGCAATTGTAAATCGTTACTTTAGATTTTAGTCAAATTAAAAACTGTAAATTGTGCCAATACAATACTATTTCCACAAAATCTATTTTGATTGTAGATGCTTGTTAAAACTAACTATTAGACGGATCTTTACTCTTTGACGTGTGGAATTATTACACAGGATGAATACAATTTTATTGTTAAATTTAATGGAATCCTTAGAAATTTAGATGGTGTTTTGCTTTATGTGCCTTTTGTTAATAATGGGATTGCATTTATTTGTTCTTGTACCTATAGTACCTATGGATAATTGAATAGATTGTCATTTTTACTTAATACACTATCTGCTACAATGTTTGAAGATCTGTGCACAAATAGTGTTACGTATTTAGATCAAGATTGACACACAATAATAGGGTCCTCTGCTTTGATACATGGTGAGTATATTATTGCCTTATTATTTTTTTTTTATTGCCTTTATTTTATAGTGGGCGGAGTGTTAGCAATTTGCTACTCTTCCCACTCAACCCACTATACAATCACAAACAGTCAGTCATGCCTTACCTGGGATTCGAACCCAGGACCCTTGTAGCCAAAGTTAGAGCTTCTAACGTAAGCTCTTCTGAGCTACGCAGGTCGGCTATTACTTTGCAGAGCTGTGCAAGCCCTACCAAATACGGATTCACAATTCGACTCCTAATTCATCAGACTACAATTTGCAATTACAATTCCTTTCAAAACGAATTAATTTACATTTGAAAAAATTACAATACTTCTTGTGACGTGTTCGTGACGTCATTGTAGTTCCATCTTTGAATAGTTCTTTATTTCTTGCGCTGAGGGTGTGTTACGCTTCCGTGAACTTGCCCAAAGAACAAGCGATATTGTGACGAACTTCGGTAGCTCGTACGTAATAGGTGACCTATTAAAATTAAACAGTGTAATTAGTTTAAATTTAATTAAGTATACTTTCGACGAAACAGGACGGGCGTACGGATTCGAGCGCCACCAAGGGATACTGATAACAATGTTGGTGAACGGATACTGTGACAACGTGTCTGAGAAACGGTCTCCAGAGTTCAGGGGGGGATTTGAAAGCAGAATTACGGTAGCGGTTGCCCTAACGAGAACGCAAGCACCAAAGCACAAATTAATTAGCGGTAGCAACGGGAAGTCAAAAGCAGGAAAGTGAAACAACATCCCGCTTTATAATTAATGGAACAGAAAGTAGCAAAAAATTTACTTTCCAATTAATCGTAGCGGTAGGAAGTTCTGTGCAAGTGAAGACAAAAGATACGGTAAAGTTTGAGGTTCAGTCTTAGCAATGAAACTGCGAATGTTAGAAGAAATAATCCGGGAAGATCGACTGCATGCCAGATTGTGAAACAAGACTCGGCAAAAATTGTATCACTTCCTCAAGAATATGTCTATTTTGCTGTATTATTTATATTTACCTTTTTCTTGATGGCGACTCCCATCAGTTTTCATTTTTTCATTAATTTGTGGCACGCGGGCGGCACTGCACAGAGAAGACAAAACCAGCACCTTGGAGAAGGGAAGAGTTCATAGTGTAAGACCAAAACATTAGTTCGGCTGGCAAAGCACCGCGTCCACACGTTCGGCGGGAGAATCGAACGTTGCGCTCCATTGGGTGGAATTTTCGAGGCAGGACTGCCACTCGTAGGAAACAAATTTCGACCATGTGGCGGCGCCAACCACGGGGTCAAATGTACATGTATAAAACCAAAGAAAAACCGACCCTTAGAAGCTTACATTTACCAAGGGGCCTTTTCAAAAAGGCCCTAGACTGTGTGTTTCCGGTAGCCTGTTGCCACTGAGCTACCTGGACTTCATGGTCACCCACTATTTAACCCTGACCATTCTGACAACGGAAGAAGCAATTCCTAGGGTAGACTCGGTTCCCACGAAGACCCCCACTATACCTTGGCGAGCCGCAGTTCGTTGCCCCCTAATTCGCAATGCGCTGGCACCCGGATCAAGCTTACTCTATGAATCATCTAATATGCCGTTCACCTGCAATCAATGAACACCAACCTGCAAGTAGATAAGATTGGTTGCATATCTTAAGGGACACACGGTTTTTTGGTAAAAAAAGGAAGGTTATACACTGCAGTTTTTTGAGGCCCTAAAAAAATTGTCTCAGATCGACCCGGAAAAAAATTCTCTTATAGAATGTGGCCTGTAGAATTCATAATTTCAAACAGTTCCAAGATTGGGCTACTAGTTCAAAAGTTACAGCCCTTTGAATTTTTTTCGAAATTGGTTTCTAGTCTATAACTTTTGATTGAAAAGTCTGATCAAAAAAGTACGAATTGTTTTGGATTCTACGCACCAAAATTAATAAGAAAAAGTGTTTTCCCGAGAAATTTTGGTGCAGTCGATTTTTGGTAAAAAAGGAAGGTTGTACACTGCCTTTTTTTGAGGCCCTAAAAAAAATTGTCTCAGATCGACCCGGAAAAAAATTTTTCTTATAGAATGTGGCCTGTAGAATCCATAATTTCAAACAGTTCCAAGATTGGGCTACTAGTTCAAAAGTTACTGCCCTTTGAATTTTCTTTCGAAATTGGTTTCTAGTCTATAACTTTTGATTGAGAAGTCTGATCGAAAAAGTACGAATTGTTTTGGATTCTAAGCACCAAAATTAATAAGAAAAAGTGTTTTCTCCAGAAATTTTGGTGCAGTCGATTTTTGGTATAAAGGGAAGGTTATACACTGCCTTTTTTTGAGGCCCGCAAAAAAATTGTCTCAGATCGACCTGGAAAAAACATTTTCTTATAGAATGGGGCCTGTAGAATCCATAATTTCAAACAGTTCCAAGATTGGCCTACTAGTTCAAAAGTTACAGCCCTTTGAATTTTCTTTCGAAATTGGTTTCTAGTCTATAACTTTTGATTGAGAAGTCTGATCGAAAAAGTACGAATTATTTTGGATTCTACGCACCAAAATTAATAAGAAAAAGTGTTTTCCCGAGAAATTTTGGTGCAGTCGATTTTTGGTAAAAAAGGAAGGTTATACACTGCCTTTTTTTTGAGGCCCGAAAAAAAAATTGTCTCAGATCGACCCGGAAAAAAATTTTCTTATAGAATGTGGCCTGTAGAATCCATAATTTCAAACAGTTCCAAGATTGGGCTACTAGTTCAACAGTTACAGCCCTTTGAATTTTCTTTCGAAATTGGTTTCTAGTCTATAACTTTTGATTGAGAAGTCTGATCGAAAAATTACGAATTGTTTTGGATTCTACGCACCAAAATTAATAAGAAAAAGTGTTTTCCCGAGAAATTTTGGTGCAGTCGATTTTTGGACAAAAAGGAAGGTTATACACTGCCTTTTTTTGGGGCCCTCAAACAAAATTGTCTCGGATCGACCCGGAAAAATTTTTTCTTATAGAATGTGGCCTGTAGAATCCATAATTTCAAACAGTTCCAAGATTAGGCTACTAGTTCAAAAGTTACAGCATTTTGAATTTTCTTTGGAAATTGGTTTCTAGTCTATAACTTTTGATTGAGAAGTCTGATCGAAAAAGTACGAATGGTTTTGGATTCTACGCACCAAAATTGATAAGAAAAAGTGTTTTCTCGAGAAATTTTGGTGTAGTCGATTTTTGGTAAAAAAGGAAGGTTATACACTGCCTTTTTTTGAGGCCCTCAACAAAAATTGTCTCAGATCGACCCGAAAACAATTTTTCTTATAGAATGTGGCCTGTAGAATCCATAATTTCAAACAGTTCCCAGATTGGGCTACTAGTTCAAAAGTTACAGCCCTTCGAATTTTCTTTCGAAATTGGTTTCTAGTAGGGAATGCAATCCCGCAGCAAAATCTCAATCCCGGTATTTGCGGGATTGTTAGATGTTAATCCCGCGGGATCCCCGGTATTTGCGGGATCTCGCAAAACTTTAAATAAATTGGCAAATAAGCAATTCTGTGCGGTTAACTTCTGTATTAAAATAAAACTAATTATCACAATATTTAACAAAAAAGTGCCTTAGGCCTAACTTAGAACTCAAAAAAACCTTACCTGTAAAGCACAAAAAGTCTTCTAAAGTGCCTCAAAAATCATAGTACATTTTTAACGAAAAAAGTTTAACAATTATTTATAAAATAATTCGCCGTTATCAGTTTCATTAACAAAGTAAACAGAGTCGTCCCCTTGGTCGACAAATTCCTCAGTCCCGCAAATCCCGCGGGATCCCGCTCCATTTATGTGCGGGATTAATCTCGCAAAAATGCTGCGGGATCCCGGTATTTCGGGATCCTGCAATCCCGGTATTGCATTCCCTAATAGAAACAATCAAAATCAGTTCTATAGAAATAACTCTGAATACAATAATAAAAATGCTGAGAACCATTACTCACGCGGAAGAGGTAATAATGTAGGTCGTGTAACCAGAGGTCGAGGTTTCAGTTATCATCAAGGATGAGGTAGAAAGAATTATTCTTATTTTGCAGAAGAAACAAATACGGAAAGTGCGACAACAGCACCTACCTAATACAAATTAGATAACATACAATTTCGTTAAAATATGTACATACATAGAAATTTCGGAATCTTCAAAATAAAAACAACGTTGAAACTCTGTATCTTTTGTAATAAAAAATTTACGAAAGAAAAAGTAAATGACAAATTTATGTAAAATTTGATGTTCTACAATTTCTAATATCAATATTTTTGTGTAAAGTGAACCTATAAAAAGATATGATTGAAAAACTAAAAAACCAACCAATTTTCTTTGGTTTTAGGGGTGGTACGGGGGAAGCACAAGGGGTGGGAGGTCGAAAACTTGGATTCTTAACCATCATTCTCCTACATGACATGCAAAAAAATTGTAACTACTGCTCGTTTTGCAGGAAATGGCCCATTTTCAGTCCCTAATTCCCCGGACTAATATCCGCAAATGGTATTTTACCCGGTCCAGCAAAAATTAAAAGACTACAGGAATATCCCATTCCAAAGAATTCAAACGAAGTAAAAAGGTTTGTTGCATTCGCTAACTACCTATTACCGGAAATAAGTAGGTACCAAATTTTGCAAGCATAGCGCTGCCATTAAACAAATTATGTCGAAAGTATTCTCATTTTAAGTGGTCCAATGAGTGTCAGCAATCCTTTGATTATTTAAGAAATTCATTAATAACTCCACTTGTACTAGATTATCCAGATTTCTCAGACGAAAACGAATTTATGTTACAAACCATTGATTGTTCAACGATACTACACATTTGAAAGTGCAAAAAAATAGAGTTGTAAAATTTGATGATTAATTTTAAAATACCCTGTAGAAGGGCGATCAAATTTTAAATCATTCGCATGTAGCATCACGTCAGTATTGTTGATTTGGAAATCTTTTTGAAATTCAAGTCAACAGAGCCATATAGGTACAGGGCACTAAAGAAAAGCAGTGAAACGTCAAAAAATTTGAAAATGGCGCTGTTCCTTTCTACGACTTTAGTAGTCATATTCTCAAAATGTTGAAAGGATCAGGTGAAGAATATTTTGTTAATCGATCGATAGTGCGCTGGTGCGCAGCAATTAGTAAAAGTAGAAACATTTTCATAAAAGCAGCTTGAAACCATATTTTGATAAGGTTGCTGCTTAACTTTGAGATTTACCCATAAAGGAAAGAGAACCTGAGATAGTTATGCATTTAGTTATATCATGAGGCATAAAACAAGTTTAACTTTATTGAAATTTCTCTTAGAAAGGGAAGTAGAGTAAGTATAACTTCTCGTTAGGTTCATATTTGAGATTCCACGTCCTTAGAAAAGCTCATGCACGTAATTCTTGACAAACTTGAGTTTTCATATAATACGTGATAAGTTGGTAGGTATACCTAAATAATGTGACCTAGTTAAACAAAATGGAACGGTAACTTACAGAAGAAAAAGGAAGTTTAAACGGGACCTCTATTGACATAACATGTTGTACACATTTCCAATGAAAATCTATCTTTTGACAGGCTGCCAGGAGACCTTTGTCATCACCCTTGTCATAGGTAATCAACAGAGCACTGAATTAAAATTGACGACCGAGTGCATTTCCCAAATATAAATTTATTAGAGTAAAAATAACTGACTTTCTCCACGATGAGATGGTCTAATGCGTCACACACGATATTTTAAGGTCAGTTTGGCCTTTAAAAATTGGCAAACGTAGTGGATTTCAAATTTGTAAATCATCTTGGGATAGGTATAAACGCGCTAAGTCTATTTCTAATTGTACGTAAATAATGGCGCGCATTTTGGGCTATTTCTGAAACGTATTGTACACGTGAGTCGTTAAATGCACTTTTGGTTAACAACCTGTGACTCATGTGCACGATACGAGTTTATCAAAATTAGACGTTGCACAACAGGTGGTGGTATTCTATTGTAGTCCAGTTTTGCCCGCGATTTTATTAGGTATAGTCGTCAATCAACAGTTGCTTGTATGATTTAGAATTGATAACACGCGTTTTTGATCTGTTTTAGTGCCTCTTCGGAAGTGGTTTAATGCGAACGTAAGTAGTATCAATATCTATTGTTTTTTGAAAAAATGTTCTAAGTCAATTTACGACACAAGTCTAAAATAACAATTGGTAATTCTTTTTGGTTTATATGGTCCTCAAACAAATAAGAATCAAAGAAATAGAATGGAATTAGAGCGTGGAGCAATTTTTTTTGAAGAATTTTGACCAACGTTTTTGCTGTAGCTAATCGAAAGGCATTTGCGTTTCTTGATAAGAAATAATCATTTTTGTCCTCCCAAAATCTGCTATGAGCCAAATTGTGATTTACCCTGGCGACATTTGTTTGATTCGTCATTGTAGTTGACGTCAACCTTCTTTACACTGATTGATTTAAAATTTTGCAAAACATTATTTCAACGAATATACTTCTTGGGGCTTCTGATTGAGTAAAACTGGATGGTGGAAAACATGGGTAGGTGACGTTCCTAATGATTTTGAATACGAGATTCACGGCCAGTTGCACGAAAAAATAATCCAGGATTATTGTTTAATCCGATATTAAGACATTTGATTGCAATATGCAGCCAATCAAATATCAAAATTCTTGTTTAAACTCAGAATTGGCAAATAATGTAGGATTTTGATTATAATTCGCTTTCCTGCAAATTCGTCAGAATACAAAATATTACCTACTTGATGATCTCGTTACTTATCTTGAAAAACAATTTATATTTGCTGATTACAAATGTCTAACCGACTGACTAAAAGAATTTAGTACAAGAATTTTAACAATAATGATATAAAAACACATTACTTCTGTAAAGTAAAATTTGTCGCCAGCGTATTTTATTTCATGAGATTGCTTATAATTTTGTATCGCTGTCTATCTGTCCGTATATCCACAGATCTACACATACACAGATTGCTAACCTTATGCATTTTTTGGGAAACAAATTTAGGTATACTTAAAAGCGCCCTCTATTGCGGAGCAGTATAAACATGTACCGTTTAAAACTGTAATATGACGCTTATGGATTTATGCATTAGATGTCGCTGCAAAAAATTTGAAGCGGTAAAGTGTGCATAATTCGAATTCGTTACTCGTTATTTTTAGCATTTGATATTTGTAATCGGTGAATTTATTTTGTGATTTGTTTCGGACTAGTTGTTTCAGTTTGTTATTGTTTAAATTAATTTTGTTTCAACGACATCTAACGCATAAATCCATAAGCGTCATATTACAGTTTTAAACGTTACATGTTTATACTGCTCCGCCATAGAGGGCGCTTTTAAGTATACCTAAATTTGTTTCCCAAAAAATGCATAAGGTTAGCAATCTGTGTATGTGTAGATCTGTGGTATATCTGCCCGTGTGCACGATAGCTTGTTTATAAACGTCTGATCGTTTTGAAAATTGGAACACATGTTCTTAAGGATATAAGAAAAGTTTTCAGGTTAACGAGGAAGATGAATATTGTTTCTAGGCTATCGGCCTCTTGTGCCTGTTGCCAAAATTCGGGAAACCATTGTTTGATGATCCTATAGATCATGTAAAGCACCTTTTTTCCAAGGGGCCAAAATAAAATGTTTCATATGCGCCACGGGCCACAGTTGAAAATTCAAATAAAAAGTATGTTCAAAGAAACCAATAATTATTATCTATTTCTTTTGGTCTTGACCAATTTTTTGCTTTCGTAAAAATCATTTTTTAAACGAACAATAAGTACTTACTCCTGAAAACTGACACGATTTTGCATACAAAATTTACCAGATGTGGGTAGTAAATCCCCATATTCAGCTTGTATCCAAATTTTCATTTATGCTCTTAAGATTTGTTGCAATATATGGCTTAAAAATGTTGTTTAATCCCAAAAAACGTGTCGTTTTATTATTAGTTTAAAATTCATTATAATAATTGACCAAAAAACAATAATGAATGATTTCGAACAATCATAACAAACCTCACAAACGGTTCTTTTTAGAACCACAGAATGTTTTCAAAAGAAATTCGTTTTTAATTATTGTTCTTTATTCAATATATTGAAAATTGAGAGAGGAATATCGAATAATATACAGGGTGTTCCATTTGAAAAATGCAATATTTATGTACCGCGCCTTTATGATCAATCCTGTATAATTTTTTTTTTTTTTGGCAGGTGGGGAAATGCATTACGCACACTCCAGACGGAGGTCTGGAGTAGTGTGGGACTCTCCCATTATTTGGGCATACCCACTAAAACCCCACCTGAGGCTTCGGCTTCTAAGGCCATTTGCCGATCTATTTCCTACTTATAGCAGCTAAGATATGCATACTAGTTACATATATATCACAGATTTTCAGCTCAAACGTACAGTCATAGGACATATTACAAACATTTTATCACAGTTTACTTATCACATCAATGGTGCTTAGAAATCGCAGTACTTCTGAGCATTTATTTACAGTGCTAAAATTCTCTTCCCATATGTCACTTATTTGATAGAGGTTACGCGCATCTTGGTATTCTGGACAAACACAAACTATATGCTCCGGTGTTAGGTTTACATCACACCTTACGCAATGAGGACGATCTTCACCGGCCAAAAATTAGTACTGCTTAGTAGATATTAAAAAACCTCATATCATTTGTATAAAACTTCTTTTGATACCTTGTATATTTTCCCCTATAATCGACCGTTTCCCCACTTATATGCGACCCTGTACAATCCATGAGTAAAGAAATAAGTATAAATTGTGCACAACTCTTGTGCAGATAAAGCACATTTTTTAAAACCGAAATAGTTTAGTAAATGGTTGTGTTATAAAATAGTAGCATGCTATTACCGATGTTTTCCTTCTTTTTAGATAGATATGTCTCGTCCAGACAATTCATTTTGCCTTTGTGGCCACTTTCCCCCGATAAAGCGTTTTCGAGATATTCGCTCGTAAATTCGCATTTCTTCCAGACGTCCCAATCGCCCCTTTGTGAATTATTTTTATATCCGATCATGATAAGGAGTCGAAGAGGAGGCTATAGCTGGTAGAAATTAATTCCTTTCGTTGAAACCTTTCATTAGAGTACCAGAAAGGATAAAATAAGTTTCACCCTCCCCCCAGCCACCAACTCAAATTCCCTCTTTTGATGGTAGAAAACAGTTCCTTTTGTTGAGACCTTTAATTGCAATACCATGAAAGATAAAATTAATTTCTACCCCCTCACTTCGACCACCTACTGATCTCGGAAAAGCGTCGCGCAGTACAGTTATGTTTTGTACAAACCAATTCATGTCGGTGAGACCTTTCATTAAAATACCATGAGGGGTAGAACGTATGTTTACCCCCTCCCCTAAAAGCACATTTTTATTTCTTAAAAAATGCGCTAAAAAGATAGGGGATTTTTACTTTGCCACTAGATATAAATACAAAACAGATTTTCTTGTGCATACAAAATTTACCAGATATGTGGATAGTAAATCCCCATATTCAGCTTGTATCCAAATTTTCATTTATGCTCATAAGATTATGTTGCAATATAAAAATGTTGTTTAATCCCAAAACACGTGTCGTTTTATTGCTCCACCCGGTATATATCGCGACGAAGATTTTGGAAAATACCTGGCGATATCTTTGAAACAAGAAATGAATCTTCAAAGAGGCTTTCATAATTTCTTGGAAGCAGGGTATATTCTAACGTGCAGTTGGACACAATCTGTGCAGTTGGAAATGAAAATGTGCAGTTGGAAGACAAAAAAATGTGCAGTAGAAAATTTTGTATTTAATAAAAAAAAATGAAGAAAATATTATTAAAAAATTTGAATGTAACTCATAAAATGGAATGGAACACTTATTAATAAAATGTGAGATGCTGACAAGTCAGAATATCTTTTTTGTTTTTGTCTTCTGAGCGTCATTTTGTTTTGACGAATCACGCTTATTTGCAGCTTCTTTGAAAATTCCTTTGAAGTACCCTTGTTCTTTGGCTTTCGTAGTAGCTTTTACTCTATGCTGTTTTTTTTTTCAACCAGTATAGAACAGCTGGCCTAGGATCCCAGTTGGCGAGTTCGGGCATATTGTAGTGGATATACAAGAACAAAAGACTGCTGTTAGCCGTTTGCGCGCCTGCGCAAACCCCGCGCCAACCACGGAAAGTTATAAACACGATTTCCGGACCGGGCTCGACCAGACCAGCCCGTGCCGGTGCCGTTAGTCCGCGTCGTTTGCAATTATAGCAAAGTGCTGAAAAATCCTAGAAAATTAACTTTTGTGCAGTTGGAAAAATTGCTTAGAATATACCCTGCTTGGAAGCTTCGGATCGCGTCCATTAGATGCTGCAAGTATAACATAATCATGTTAATCAAATTTTTAATGTAACTTGGAGGACTGTATGAGTATGACGGTATTGGCAGGGCGGATTAGACCCGCGGGCCGTGGGTTGCCCATACCTGATGTGAAGGAACATACTAAGGATGATATTAATGTATAGAATAGATGATTCTTGTCGAATAACTTACACTGGGGTTTACGATCGGAATTTGGGTGATATTGTCAGTTTTAGAATGACCCTATATTTTCTTCATAATAAGTTTTTTCATAATGATTGTTGAATAATCTGCCGTATTCAAAATAAATTTACGGGGTCCGGTAAAGAAGTGGGCCCTAACCTCATTTTTTTTAACGGAGCACTGCCTGTTTATATGGGTAATGCCATGCGGTCACAACGCTACCCACAAAACACCTGTCCAACTAGCTTGTTATAACAAAACTGAAACTTTATTTTATAATATCTCCTCGTACACATTCGGCATCTGCTATAAAGAAAAATTCCATACTGATTTCTCAATTTCATAATCTCCTTCTTTTACCAAATTTCAAAAACCAATACCTAGCTTTGATACTGCCACAAGAAAATTCAAGAAAATTAATGCCAGCATAGAAGGACCGCATAAAAAACGTTCCCACTTCTAAACAAAAGACACGCAATTGTCCGTAAAACTTGAATGCTCATTATCAGCACCAGAGATGTGCATTTCCTTGCAATTAATTAATTGTTGTTGATAAACACTCCTTACCTATCACAAACGAATAAGTAAAAACTTTTTGGCCAAATGTGCCTAAATTAAAAAATCATTGAACAATTTGAAAGCGATAAACTTAAAACGGCACTCAGTTCGCATCCGAAAACACGACTCTTAATCAGGTTCATATTCATATAGCACTGATCCTTGAACTCGTAGGGATCGAGTGGTTTGAATCGCTGTCTCTTTTCATTCTAGAGTTAGACGAAGAACAGGTGGAGGGGCCAAACCACTTAAAAAAGGCCAAAAAAGATTCAAAAAGATTACGAATATGACAAAATTAAAAAAGGTTTAAATGATTCAAAAAATTCAAAAACATTTCAAATTTTTTGAATCTTTTTGAAACAATATTGAATTTGTATTACATTTTTGAATTTAAATATACTATGTGTTCATTTTCAAGAAACTTTTGTAATCAATATTCGTCTGTCTCCTTCAACTAAGAAAATATAGTCATTCTGATCTCGACCATTTTCCCCCGTATTTCTTGTGAGCGAATATTTTCAAATTTTGATTTTACCGTTTCAAATTTGACCCAAATTTATCGAAAAATGATCAGTCCTCGTGTGAGATTGAAGGGACTTCAGCGCATTATTGTGTGGCAGATCAATATTTTATTAACCAGTTTTGGACTGTATCATCAATAAGACCTTGTCGGGGTCTACCACATTCGCTTTGTGGGTACCCACTTTCGATGTATGATGTAGTAGAAGTGGAAGATCCGTAGCTAAAGGGGAATGATAAGGGGAGTCTGCCCCTCATGCTATGCGGGACTTGGCATTTTTTATCCTTATTTGATACCTAGTTGGTATTTAAGAGAGTAAGAAATCATTATAATAACGCAATCATCATTTCCAGGAAATTTATCCAACTGAATTAATTGTGTGTTTATTCGAATCCATAGTGCGGTCCAGAAAGAGTTTTCATGTCAGATTTTTCTATTCGTTCTGAAAATTCAATCAAAAGTTGGGTAATAAATTCATATTCATATAGCACTGATCCTTGAACTCGTAGGAATCGAGTGGTAAAGGTTTGACATCGCTGTCTCTTTTCATTCTAGAGTTAGGCGAAGAACAGGCGAAGGGGCTAAATCATCACATTAAGGGAATTTCTATCAAAAAACCGTTAAAAAAAGTCAAAAAAAGATTCAAAAAGGTTACGAAAAGAATTATCAAAATAAAAAAAAGTTCAAATGTTCAAAAAATTACAAAAACATTTCAAATGTTTGATTTTTGAAGCAATATTGAATCTGTGTTACATTTTTGAATTTAAATATACTGGGTGTTCATTTTCAAGAAACTTTTGTAATCAAAATTCGTCTGTCTCCTTCAACTAAGAAAATATAGTCATTCTGATCACGACCATTTCCCCCCGTATTTCTTAAGTGAGTGAATATTTTCAAATTTTGATTTTACCGTTTCAAATTTGACCCAAAATTATCGAAAAATGATCAGTCCTCGTGTGAGATTGAAGGGACTTCAGCGGATTATTGTGTGGCAGATCAGTATTTTATTAACCAGTTTTGGCTGTATCATCAATAAGATCTTGTCGGGGGCTACCACATTCCCTTTGTCGATACCCACTTCTGAATCCCCAACAGTCATATAAATACGCCATTTTGGGGGATTTCGCTAGTCTCCACAAAATAGTACTAAATTTTTGTTTAACTTCACCCCTAGTAAAAAAAAAACAAAATTCCGTCCCGAATGAGTTTATAAGATCTTTTCGACCACACCAGTTTAAAAAAAATCGGACCAAAACTGTACAAGGAGATAAGAAAAAATTGCAAAATCACCACGTAAGTAAACCATGCTGGGGGTTGGCGCCCTGATGTCATTGATCCCACATCATGTAGTGACTGTAGTTTACTAAATATACATTTTACAGTAAGATCTTATAGTGAACAGTTGCATACTTACATTATTTGTGATCAGAACTCAAAAATTCCACCAAAAAAATTTTTCCACTAAACATATTTCTTATGGAAATGCGTGAAACATAAACCATTTTTATATTTTAAGGTTAAATGGAAAAGTTTTAGTGCTTTTGAAAGGCCGACACTTGATACAGAACTTTAAAATTTTAGGAAACAATGTAAATACATCCCCAACGAGAAAAGTTACAAAAAGCCTTTGTAGGTAGATTACATTTTTTCAACCTGAAAGAAGTTCAATCAAGTCCCAGTGTCGAATACTCCTTTAGCGCCTGAAATACGAACAAGTCTGGTAATTTTTGATTTGATTCACTACAAATCTTCATTAGAGAACGTTTTAGAACTCGAGAAACTGTCCAGAATTCTAGAAAAAACTCCAGCGCTGTTTTGTATTTTATATCTAGTGGCAAAGACAAAATCCCCTATATCTTTTAGCGCATTTTTTAAGAAATAAAAATGTGCCTTTTGTCCGTCCATCTGTCTGACCGTGGACCGTCCAAGTCCACTTCCGTGCTTTTGCACTGCTTTTAGGGGAGGGGGGTAAACATACGTTCTACCCTTCATGGTATTCTAATGAAAGGTCTCACCGATATGAATTAGTTTGTACAAACATAACTTTTCTGCGCGACGCTTTTCCGAGATCAGTGAGAGGCCGGGGAAAGGGGGTAGAAATTAATTTTATGTTTCATGGTATTGCAACTAAATGTCTCAACAAAAGGAACTGTTTTCTACCAATTACCGCCCTACTTTCTGACTCCTTATCAAAAGAGGGAATTTGAGTTGGAGGTTGGGAGGAGGGTGAAACTTATTTTATCCTTCCTGGGACTCTATGTGTTCTATTTAAAAGAATGCAATATTGGCGTGCTACGCCTTTATCCTGTATAATTAAAAGTAGTACTTCTTAGTAGACATTAAAGAACCTCAAATCTTTTGTATAACACTTTTTTTATACCTTGTATATTTTCCCCGATAATCGACCGTTTCCAGACTTATCAGCGACCCTGTATAGGTATTGAAAATGAGCAATAATGAGAAAGTTAGATGCTTTGGCTACGAATTTTTCTGGGTAACAAATTGGCAAGAAAACTTTGATGTATTTCTTATACCCATATAATAATAGACAAACATTATATATTTTCGGCTATTCTCATACACGCCAATTTTAGATTCAAGCCTTTAAAAGTTTAAATTGCGTAATGGGACATGTACGTAACACATTTAAACAAGCCTCCTTGTATAACACACCTGGGGTTTAATACAATAATTCGACTAGACGATGCAGGGCGCATTCAAATTTTGTATTTTCGAGGGAGGAGGTCGTCGATATATTATCTTGGATCCTTTAAAGTTTTTGTTTTTAGGTGCATTTTCAATGAGAGAACACACATTTATCGATACATTTGCCAAGGGCGATAGTTACCCTAGTTACGCAGGTAACGCGAGACTAATTAGTTTAAAGATATAGTACAGCTCATTGTAATACAAAACCAAATTGGTTTTCTCTTCTCGTAAGCATCCATCAAACTAAAGTCGGAAGTTTCAATCAAAAGTGGTGTATTTTCCATCATTTTCAAAGGTCGTCAATGTATGTAGGTAGGTAATTAACTTTGGGCGCCTCGACAAAGAGTAATTTAAATAGACATGTTACCTTTAGCTACATTTACTAATGGATTATCAGTATGTAGCGTGCAAAGTTGAACACATTTCGCACGTCATCAAATAGGGGTGAACTTTTAGTAGTTTCGCATCAGTTTGCAAGTAACCGAGGGGTTGGCTTGCGCTAACTGTTCAGATTTGTAAGTGTCCTTTCGCTTCTTTATTAATTCTTAAATCAACTTTCTTTTGTTGTAGGTGTCGCAATTAATTATGGTTATTAGCCGAAACGGATCTGTTGTTCACTCTCCCAAGGGGGTAAGTGAAATGCACACGTTTTTATATTTACATTGTTTCCTATGCTTGAAAATCTTGACGCTAATAGAACTAAAATTGCAAAATCAAACTATGTCAGACTTAATAATAATAGTTTATAATAATAACAGTTTATTGACCAACAGAACGCATCCATTTACAGGTCAACTTATTATAAATAGAACATATAAAGCATTGTGCATTAAACAACAAAAGAAAATTGAAAAAAAAAATAAATAAAAGTGAATTTTCAAAAAACAAAAACATAAAAACAAATAATAGCTAATAACTGCCCCTGAATCATTATGAATTAAAAGAAAGACAAATTATAAAAATTCTAAAATTAATAAATACTACATAATATTACCGTAAAAATCAGTACAATAGTAGTACTTAGCAGCATAAATCAAGAAGCGACTGCAATCTTAAATGCAGAGCCACATTTAGCACGTTTTAGTAAATTTAACTCCGATATTTGGATTAATAAACAGCCAGTAGTACTTTGGATTTCGAAACAGGCTTTCCCGCTACGAATCGAGAGTTAGTATCAGCAATTTTCGATTCCATTCCAGTATAACAAAGTTGGGCAACTCAAAGGGAAGCTTTAGACGCGGTATAATTAAGGTTAAAGTGTAGTCTTTCATTTGCTTGCAATACTTGACGCATAAACAGTAAATTGAAACCTTAAAGACTCTGTCTATTCGTTTTTTTAACCTGTTTGAAAAGGAATAAAGAAACTATGACCTTTTCTGATTTTATTTTCGGGTCTGAAGTAACAGGATTGGAAACATTCGTAGAAAACTCTTGTTGCTGTATAGGGTGAGTCAACGATTGCGCGGAGTAACTTAATGCCTTGAAGATAAGATTTTTCGATAGAGTGCGTTTGTATTATGATATGGTTGAATATTCACTTCATTTTAAAAATATTTGGAATTATACAGGGTGAGCCCACAACGTATAGGGCGCCCAAATGGTACATTTTTTTAAATAGAACCCCCTGTATTTGAATGCCATTTTTGAATTTTACGTGTAATTGTATGTCTTTTTTATTTTATGGTTAATATCCGAAAAACTAGTAGTTTTAAAATTTATTCGATTTGTAAGAATTATTATTATTATTATTATTATTATATCTTTCATCCTGGGGTAAAAGTCAAATAAACACATCTACTACAAAACATTAAAAAAATAGCTTACAGGGTGTTTTTTTTGTAGGTCCAAAGTTACAAAACTTCATATTAAAAAATAATAATTGCCTTTTTTCTGCATGGCCACCTCACTATTAAGTAAATTACATATAACTTATTTAACACTAAAATATAAAAACCAGGAAAGACAAGATGTTTCGAAAACTATCAGAGATAGGTATAGGACATTATTATCAAAAGTTGAAGGTTTCTGGAGGCGCTAAAAGATGACAGAAAAATATTTATTTATTTATTATTTATTATCCCTCTCTTAGTTTTGGGCCCTCAACAGGCATGCGCCCAATTACAGAGTGACCCGCATAATGCTATTTAGAGGTGCCTCTGCAGAAGGTCTTAAGTTGGTCTATGGTATACTCCGGTATTTACCTTACGAATTAGGAAAACTGCAGGAAAACCTAATTCGGAGTAGCCGGTAGAATGCTCGGAACTGGTCTAAGGTAATTTACATCTCCGCCACAGATGAAAAATTCACCTCAACCCAGGTTCGAACACCCGACCTCCGGATTTATAACCCAACGCTCTTACTACTGAGCCATAAAGCCGGTGTTCCATTTAAAAAAAGTGAAATTTTTTAATATGAAGTTTTGTAACTTTGGATCTAGCAAAAAAATACCCTGTAAGCTATTCTTTTAATGTTTTATAGTAGATGTATTTATTTGACTTTTACTTAACCCAAGATAAAAGATATAAAACCTGGAATCAAAATTTAAGTAATAATTTTGACAATATACCGACGCTTGCAAATGCCCAATTTTTCTTACGAATCGAATTATCTTTAAAACTATTAGCTTTTCGGGTATTAACCCTATAATAAAAAAGACGTACAATTACACGTAGAATTAAAAAATGTATTCAAATACAGGGGGTTCTGTTTAAAAAAATGTAACATTTTGGCGCCCTACTTCGTGGGCGCACCAAGTATAATTCCAAATATTTTTAAAATGTGAAGAATATTCAACCATATCATCATACAAAAGCACTCTATCGAAAAATCTTATCTTCAAGGCATTAAGTTACTCCGCATAATCGTTAACTCACCCTGTTCATCATTGGGTGATTGAAGTATACTCTTGGTAATTTTAAAAGTCGAATAAATTTAGATCGTTTTATCTGCGTATTTAAATTTTACAGTTTGTTGACCTCATAATGAGTACTGGAAATCTTGGCGTCATGTTGTCGGGACAACAAGAGCTAAATTTTTTTATTTTAATTGATTGTAGTAGGGTAGGGATTAAGTTATCGCACACAGATGCAATTCAGCCGAATTTTACTGCGTGGGTTTCTTAAGAAACCGTCTAATATTCATGCACCTCGGCGGGTACAGCGATTTTGATTGACTTTTAAAGAAAAATGGTTCTCTTAATTAGTAGACGACGCGACATGTTGAAAAAGGCATTAATTGATTAATGAAGAATAGGTAGGGATTATTTTGGGGATTTTCTGAAGGCATTCAGGTCTGGAAAATTTTTGCATCCATTGTGTTGTTCAAGTTACTTTCGCGGGTAGTTAATCCGGGGAAGTTTTGAAAGATATTCGGTCGAGAACTACCAAGGAGTCACTGCGTAGTTGGTCGTTGTTCGTTTGGGCTTTGCCATGTCGAACGTCGCATGGAGGATTGCTTCTTAAAAACTGTCTATAGGAGGAATTCGAGCGGAAGCTATCTCAAAACGACACTTACACATTTTCTTTCCTAAGAACATATATTAGGTACCTAGCAAAATTGCGCAGTAATGATTTAGACTCTCCTATGGCAAAGTCATTTTTGGCTATAGGTGGTGTTTGGTTCGGATTTTCGAAAAAGTTCCGCACCTTCTTAAGTTTCCTACAAGTAATACGGTTTAAATCATCATGAATATATTACCAAATAGCTAAGTAAATAAAAAATAACACAATAAGGAGATGGTAAAGAGTTCTCTCACTGATAACCTTCACCTACAAATTGAGTTTGAAAGTTCAGTCTTACTAGTAACACTTCCTCAAGAAATGCCTCCCTTGCACAAACGCAATCGTGGCCGCCTCCAGGTTTAATATACCTCCTGGGCACATATCGTGGGCTATTTCGCACAACCGTGGACAGATGTTCAAAAGCGCGTTTTGTATACAATCCAAAATGTTGTAGTGATTGTGCACAATTGATTCCAGCTGTTGTAGAAACTTTACCATTTTTCGTTCGGACAAGGTTTTCACGTTTTTATTTAAGCACTCTTCGTGATCGCTAATCGGTATCGTGTCGCAGTCTAAGCCGGCCATAAACGGATCTAGTTCCTTTGATGATAGCACCCAGATTCTCCTCTGTGTACACCATACAACCCGAGACGCGAGCTCGTACAGCTGCGACCATCGGTTCCTCTCATTACTACAGCCCATACACCAATTTGGTTTCCACTCCAACACTTCATCACCAAGCGTCGATCGCACTATGGTTACCAGTATGAATGCAATTGTGCACACCATTTTGATGCATCGGGAACAATCAACAGTAAACAACTGACAAAACAATTTCTGTAGTACATGTGCACAAGATAATCTTACCGAACCTTGTTACTTTAACTGAAAGATAAAGCGTAACTTGTAATTCTCAAGACGAGGTGGCAATCTCCAAAGACTACAATCTCCATCGAAATTTTTGCGCACACCACGTTTATCTTTTTTAGATATCCTAATAAATACACTTCACCTTGTTTTGCTGATAGATGAGCTATGGCGACAGTCTGATATCGAACAAATTTCATACAGATCTTATCATTGATATGAAGAATCGCATACGATATTCAGGAGGGGAATTTTTCGATGAAATCTTATTCGTAAATGTCCTTAAATTATTGCGGTTTTTTGGTAAGACGAATGATCATTGGCTTGTGATAAGAATAGTAGAACTCGTAAATGAATATTCGGGACGGATCAGTGAAGTTGGAGTGTCGACTTGAAAGGCATTAAGTTCCAAGTATCTCATAATTTTCTGCTCATTTTGTGCTAATTTGTGCTGCTAATTTAAAATTTTGTGCTCATCAGGTTAATGAGTAATTTAACTTTTTCTGATGGCACTCCTACTTCACACTGTAGTGTCAATATTCATATTTTCAAAAATTTCTTTTACTATAATTTTGTGCTAATGTGTTCTGTCAATTTAAAATTGTGTGCGAGTCACGGTATCGATATTTCAAATTTTTTGGAATGCGCCTCAAGCTTTTCTCACTGTAGGGTCAACATTGATATTTTAAACAGTTTATTTTATTCACGTTTTGTGCTAATTTGTCCTGCTAAGGTCATCCCGTCAATGGGCATTCAAATTTTTTGTATGACTCTCTTGAGCTAGGCGGATACTGCCATCGCCGTTTTTTTGGACAAAATTTCATCAAATGTCGACATTTTAAATCATTTTAAGCAACTTTTAATGAACAAAATTTTTCCGTCTGTGTGTACGTACGTACCGATGTACAGGGTGAGTCAACGATTGCGTGGTGTAACTTAATGCCTTGAGGGTAAGATTTTTCGTAGGGCTCCAAAATGGAACATTATTTTAAATAAAACCCCTTGTATTTGAATGCATTTTTGAATTCTACTGTAATTGTAAGTCTTTTTTATTATATGGTTAATATCCGAAAAGCTAGTAGTTTTAAAGATAATTCGATTTTTAAGAAAAATTGGGCATTTGCAAGCTTCAGTATATTGTCAAAATTATTACTTAAATTTTGATTTCAGGTTTTATATCTTTTATCTTGGGTTAAGTAAAAGTCAAATAAATACATCTACTATGAAACATTAAAAAAATAGCTTACAGGTTTTTTTCTAGAT